CCCCTTGCGTAAACTCATCAGAAAAAAATAACAAAATCATAGAACAAGATTAAAAACTAAACAATTATTTTGTCAGTTTCCTTCACATATCCCATATACCCGTATCTTGGCCGTAACTATCACATCTTCGAACCTGCTCAATATCACCTAATCTGGAGGTATGTTCTTCAGGTGAATTTAATGAGGCTCATTTACACTGACATTCGGTTCGATGATCCTTCCGATTATGCTTAACATGTTAAACCAACTAGACCTACTTCATCCAAGTTCTAGCAGATTCTCCTTTTTGCCCTTGAATATTTGTCGCTTTACTATTCGGTTCAATTTATACCTCATCTAAAAGACATCGCTAAAGCGGCTCTATCTACACCATCATAGATTGATTTGGGAGTCTTTGCTACCCAATTTATAGTCATAGCAACTAAGCATTTTTGGGATTCGAATTGAGTGGCTCTTAAATAAATTTCTTGACCCCTTAGCTCTAATATAGTCGTAATTAGTATACCCTGCTCATATGATTTACGAGAGTTTGGCATGTTTTCACTGGATTCGAAGGACATTGCCTCGGAAGCAGCGTCAGCAATATTGTTCCATTAAAACTAATCGGTAGATTATCAACAGGAATTCGTCGTCATATTCTTGGGTGTATCGACCTTTTAATTTCTTCCACAAACACTTTTTCCCGAAATATAAGTGCGCTCAAAAATTAGCTCCCCGTTATATTAGTACTGGTACTTTTAATTAAATGTGTCTATGTATGTGCTTGTGTATGTAGTCAATACATTTTCTAAATCAGAGTAAGTACAAAATCTCAAAGTTATGTTCCCTCTATTTCGTTTACAGTGATGAAGTTTTGGTAGTTGAATTTTCACACAATGATATGAGTGAAGCTGACGTTTCCATTGAATTTCTCATTGCCTTGATTCCCCAAAAGGTGTTATCTTTCAAGTTGAACATCAGTACCAACACCTTCTGAAAAAGCAAGGCTATGTGAAATTCAATGGAAACATCCGCTCTGTTCAAATGATTGTGAGCAAATTCAATTAGCAGTACTTCATCCCCTTAAACGAAATAGGTTGAACACAATTCATATATGTGATTTATCGGTAGTGACGAAAGTCTAATCAAAACGAAATAAAATCTTAAATCGTAGATATAAAGACTAAGATGTTGTGGACTTCAGTTTGCTCGCAGTCTCTTTTGGCTTAGTAGCGTTGGTTCGACCTTGGTTACTTCGTCAGACTACCACAAATTCTGATAGGACTGTCGCCAAAGCCGCCAGTACAGACAACAGCTACTACCACTCCTTTCTCGTGTTAAATGAAGTACAACTCTTAGATCAGATCTACTGGCAGTCTAGAAAGCCGACTTATAAACTTAAAATAAGTAATATAGTCTATTGCTATGGCAAATACAAAAGCTTCAAGTGAATTCCAGGTCAAAAAGATATAATTATATTCATTTTCCGCTTTTTATAGGCATGCTTTAGACTAAATTTCAATTAAATTTCGTATAGTCCATCATTCGAAAACCTACTTATGAAGTGAAAAATAAGTAGCGCAGTCCATTGCTACAACAAATACAATTTTGCTTTGTCGACAATACAATCATAGAAATATGATATGTAAGAGGTCTCTGATCCAAAAGTACTCAGGACAGCCTGGCATTGTGGTTGATTTTTAGAGACTATACGCGGCATTTATGGTAACATGACATTCTCTTTCGAAAAAAATATTTGCCCAAAGGAGTTTGTAAAATGGTCTGACAAAAAAAACGAAACAGGATTGCCGCGGAGTGAAGATTGATGCATTTTGCGAAGAATTCGTCGGCTTATCGTCCTGGGGCTTCAATGAGCATGTGCTTAGCGTCCGTTTGTATCCTCGGGACAGACCTCATCAAAGCAATAAACCATACTTTACAAAAAATCTACCAAATTACATTTTCTGTTGGTTAACCAAATTTTGTGGGCTATTTCGTAAAGCATAGATTCCTGCTGTGATTATGACTACCACGTAGGTACAGACGAAAGCTTAGCATAGGATTATCGGACTCTCGGGACGATAAGTCTAGGATTTCTTCGCACAGTCCAACAGTCTTCCTTTTATGTCAGTCAATCCTTCTTCGGTTTCTGGTGAGACCATTTCACGAACACCTTCCAACCAAATTTCCCCACAAAATGTAAATTCGTGTCACAATATAGCACTGAGGAATTCTTTGTATGACTTGAGTTCGAGTCCCGCCAAGGGCACTAATGAGACCAATTCGGGTGAGGTTGAAAGTACAGCCAACTTCAGTCTGGAGGAGAATGCCTTTAAGAAGGCTGTGTGAATTCCAGTGCATACGTGAGGTATATTCATACAAGTATGGAAAAATTCAACTAGCAGTCCTTCATCACATTAAGTGAAATAGGATGAATGCAGCTGTTTTATCGGATCTACCTGAAGTAAAATGACAAAAAAGGCATAATTTACATCCATAAGGAGTAAGTTTTTGAGGCTATCACTAAATACTGATTTAAAAAATGTAAATTTACAATCATTCCCAAAAGCCTACTCATTGCGAATGCAAATAACGTTTTCTACCGTAATGACACTCTCATGGTTGCCTCATTGACCTGTCATCCCCTTTTTGCCTCCTGTTCTTATTATTCTAATAATCATCATCATTAACATCGCTGCTGAGCGCTTACCGTCTGGACCTGTCTGAGTTTGTTGTAGAGTTCGCCTAGTCCCGTGTGGCTCTTGTCTCAAGGTTCCGGTCGTTTTGAGAAACTGACCAAAATTTGTGGACTCAGAGCTGTCGAACATTTTCACGTTGAGTCTACCACAAGCAGCGACGTCTGCTCTGGTCTCCTCCTCTTCGGTCTTGTCCTCCGTTTGGCCGATTTTCGACTTCTTTTCGCCTTCTTCACAATCGGCGCTTTTCTCGCCTTCACCGTGCCCCGGTTCTGATTTATTCTCGCCCTCCACTCGACAGAGACCGAGTGACGAATGCGATCGTCGTCCGCCGACTCCGGCCTCGATCTCTTCGCCATCTTCCTCCTCTTCCTCCTCGTCCTCCTCGTCCTCTTCGTCCTCGTCCTCTTCTTCCTCCTCTTCCTCCCCTACGTCTCCCTCTTCGTCGTCCCCCTCCCCTTCTCCGTTACCGCTGCCGTCGCCTACATCGTCGTCTTCGTCGTCGTTGTCGTTGTCGTTGCCAACAATTGTAGCCATTGGTGTGACGGGCGCGGTTGTGACGGGACTCGTCTTCGACGGCGTTAATATGACTCCCGCTCCTGTCGAGTTGGCCATGCGTCGAGCCGTCGAGAACATGTCGTGTCCGGCTTTGCCGATTGGCCCCGCGGTCTCCAATGCCTCAAATGCCTCGAATACCGCAGATGCCGTGACAGCACCAAACACTGAATAGCCACTCTCAAGACGGTCTGATGGGCTAGGGTAAGGATAGCCAAAAGAGCTGAACGATGATTGTCGTTGTAGACGCACGCAGGCTTACTTCACTTCGTCAGGCAGAAAAATTCCCCATCGGCCAAGCAACCAATGCTACTGCTGCTGGTGATGGTGGTGGTGTTGTTGTTGATGATGATGATGATGATAATGATGACGTTGATGATGACAACGACAGCGACGATGACGATGATGATGATGATGATGATGATGATGGCGATGATGGTGATGGTGATTATGATTACGATGGTAATAATGGTGGTTGGAGGGTGGGTGGGGGGGTTGTGGTCGTCCTGATTGTAGTGGTGATGGTGATGCTGATGCTGCTGCCAATTGCAGTGTTGCCGATTGAGTCGCGTATGCGGGACAGACATCCAGACGCGGTTGGTGATTCGACCAGTGGCGGCTTGAGAAGCGTCTACCCTCGGTTCGTCTGTTAATGATGCCCGGACCTCCCCTCTGAACCAGACGGAAGAGACCGTCTGGCCCAATCTGCTCACACGTACCCACCCATTCTCTCGCTCTCTAACCCTTTCTTAAGCACTGGTTCCAACTGGCTGTCGGTCATCCTCTTCGTTGTAGCATGCAAACATCTGGTCGCCTAGCCTCTGCCGGTCGGCCGGACATTCCAGTAGAAGTGAAGTGAAAATTGAGCACTCTGTTGAAACGAGAAACCGCTACAAGCAGACAGACACAGAGTGAGCAGGGAACCAATAGACACAGATACAGACATAAAAACATGCAGGCAAAAAGAGGTGGGGAGAAGAGGTCGGTTGGTAGGCCAGAGATCTGCCCAAGAACCGGAAGGCCGGATCCGAGTGAGTTGAGTCTCTTGTGTCTTGGCCAGCCTTGGGATTCGGCTTAAAGTCGCCGGGCTGATCTACAATTTCTGAGCCCCGAGCCGGGCCGGGCCGGGCCTGGTTTCGGAAGTTGGACGAGACAAACAAAGGGGCAGTTGGGCGAACGGTTTAGGGAGAGGCAAAACGGCCTCACAGCCTCGGGATTGGCCAAATTCCTGTCTCTTTCTGACCTCTTGTCCACATGCGATTGGTGAACTTCCTTGCAGACGGTCCGATTCCCGCTGCCCCTCTATCCCCAAACTGTATGGCCGACTCGACTGGCCTACATACCGCCCAGTCCCGTTCAAAAGGTCTGTCTGCCCGACGGTGGGATCATCAGCCGATCTGTCCGCTGCGCAGACGCCCGGTCATGAGGCCGGTCCGACAAGAGACGACGTCTGACTGCCCGATGGAGCTCAGGCTCGAGTCCCGCCAGTTTGAAGAACCCGAGGCTGAGGCGGTGCGAGGGCAGGAGACGAGAGAGAATGCCCAAATATTAACTGGATTTTTAGACCTCTCCTGAGATGGAGTTGTTGTTGATACGCTTAATTCGTATGCAAATGTGAGGGAGGAGACGGAAAGAGTATATTGCCTACCAATTATGAGTGTATACTCCTCGAAACATCGTTTATGCCGAGTTTTCATGTCTCATGTGATGGATTGCATCCGAGAGGAAATGTGGAGACTTTTAGTTCGTATGAAATTACCATCAAATCAGAACCCATTAGAGACAGACGTACACATACACACATATACACAGGCACGGACACAGCCAAGTATCAGTATACGAATCGATGTGAAAAATAGCTAACCAATTCATCCTCTTGGTTTGGTATAATTCTGCCCCATTTTGTAGAATATAGTTTCTTGATCTGAGGGTTGCTGGTAGGTGAGTATAGGATTTGTTCTGTGCGCAATTCAACTCTGCGGCAATGTCCTTCTGTTTCTTGTGCGACAAATGTGTCAACTCCTTCTGAGCAAGAATTACTTGAAAATGTAAAGTCGAGTCACTATCATTATATAATCACATATTTTTGTAGTCATAGCATGTAGAATAGAGCCAAAGAGACTTGGTGACTTGGTGATGCTTCGAAACAGTTGCAATAATCACTTCCAGTCCTGACGAAGTCTGCCGACGTGGCATGATGGAGGTAATATCAGTCCGTCTGACCCGGAAACGAGAGAGGATGCCTCGTGGACTGTGTCACCCTGAACTGGAGAGCCACTGGCATCGACCGTCGTCTTTACGGCGTGATCAATCTCTCACTCACTCTCTCTTCGTCATGTAATTTCTTGCGAAATAAAAGTCTTCACAGCAAAGTCATCTTAAAGGACTCATCGACACTCCGATCAACATCAGTTGGGCTTGTCTGTCTTACCACGTGACGGAGATTGCAGAGCCTGTTCGTCCTGCAAGTCCTGCACGAATGTCAAGCTATCTCTAAGTTAAGAAGGCTAACTGGCTCCTCCCTACATGCAACGTGCACTCAAGGCCACAACAAAAGATAACTGAATAAAAAGACAAAAATATTTAATCATGTCTCTTTCACGAAGTTGTGTGCGCCTGAACGCATGTTTCCATTTCTCACACATATTTTCATAGTGTTTCCTTTCCTGACGTACACACGTATTCCCACACCCACCCACATGCATAAACGCAGACTTAAAAATAAAACTTCTACGATGTACTCAACCCAATTCGTTAAAATGTAGTAGAACTGTTAGCTGAATTTTCCTACAATGC